GAGGTGGAGGAAGACTTGCAGGAGGCGCGGTTCCAGCAGGTGATGGCGGCCCTGGAGAGCGGGGAGGAGGCCGAGGGCAGCGAGGAGGAGGAGGAGGAGGAAGTGCTGGGGCTGCAGCTGCCCGAGGAGGACAGCGAGGAGGAGGATGGGCCCGGTGAGGAAGAAGAGGAGGAGATGCAGGCGCTGAATCTTTACATAGACCATAGTGCAGAAGAGGATGGAGGGGAGGAGGATGAGGATGGAGAAGGTGAAGAGGAGGAAGATGGGGACCTGTCCATGGAGAGCGACTTGGAGGAGCGCCGTGAGGACACCGAGCTCCCCCACGAGCTCTCCTGGGGCCAGCGCAAGCAGCTCTACTACGACACGGACTATGGGGGCGATGCCCGGGCGAAGGGCAAGCGCCGCCAGCAGGAGGTTGATGCTGAGGAAGAGGAGGAGGAGCAGGAAGCTCAAGTCATCCAGAGGCGGTTGGTGCAGGACTTAGAGGAAGATGATTATGGGCTAGATGTGATCCAGGGCTATCTGGCTGAGCAGCAGAAAACACATGATAGTAAAGGGCAGAAGATTGACAAGGATTTGCAAGCCCTTCCCAAGAAGGAGCAGCTGAAGCTACTGAAGCAGGAGTCCCCTGAGCTCCTGCAGCTGATTGAGGACTTTGAAGTCAAGCTGATGGAGCTCAAGGATGAGCTGCACCCCTTGCTGCAAATGGTCAAAAATGGCACTATCCTGCAAGGGAAAGGCAGCCACTATTTGCAGACCAAGTATCATCTCTACTTGAATTACTGTGCCAATATAAGTTTCTATTTAGTTTTGAAGTCCAAGAGGATGCCAGTTCATAGTCACCCCATTATCGAACGGCTGGTTGCCTACAGAAATATAATCAATGACCTGGCTGTTGTAGATGAAAGGTTATCCTCGCAAGTTCGAATGCTTTTGAAAAACTACTACGATAAGAGGGAAGATAAGCCACGGAAGGAGAAGAAGTTTGCAGTGTTTCTCCCACTGGATGTCAAGAAAAGCAAACCAAAACGTGCTCCTGCACATGCTAATGGCTGGACTGCTGCTGAGGAATCGTCAGACGAGTCGGACCTGGATGAAGAGGATGCTCTAAAATACTATAAGATGATGGAGGAGAAGCTGAAACTCAAGAGGAAGAGAACTGAAGACCGAGACATGCTTGAAGAAGAAGCAGTGTTGGAAGGAGAGGATGCAGAGAAAAAGAGAGGTGTGACCTACCAGATGATCAAGAACAAAGGCCTCACACCCAAAAGGAAGAAGATCGACCGAAACCCCAGGGTCAAGCACCGGGAGAAGTTCCGGAGAGCCAAGATTCGCCGCAAGGGCCAGGTCCGGGAAGTGCGGAGGGAATTGCACAGATACGATGGGGAACTCTCTGGCATTCGTGCAGGAGTTAAGAAAAGCAGGAAGCTGCAATGATCTTAACTTTGCTCTGGGTCTGAGAGCTGCCAGTAACAATCCTGAGTCCAATAAATGCTTTGTAAAAGGTGTTGTGGTGTTTATCCTTAAGAAGATGTGGGGAGGTGGCATTTGGATCTTGTCCTTTCAGAGGATGCTTTTCAGCAGGTGCCAGCTTTAAAAGTAGCACAGAGGCCTTTCTTCACCTGGCCTGTGTGTCAGGGTAGTTTTCCTTGATTACTGATGCTGTTGTCTTTCATACTGTGAATACTGGCTTTGAAAGGCTGTGAGGGATGTGTCAAGCAGAGGGAATGAAATGGGCTGTGTGGGACTGACTGGGATGGGATGGAGGGTCTTCCCAAGGGTGGGTTGGGGCAGCTGTCCTTTCTCTTTTTTACTCTCTTGTTCTGGTCCATCCTTTTTTGTGTCAAGCTGCAGGATGAGATACATGTGGTGATGGTATGTCCTCTAATTCTTGTTCTGATTAGCAATGATCATACATTTAAGAATCAGCTACTTAGGGTCTCAAATCTTTCAATCTTTGAGCAGGCAGTTATGACTTAAATACTATGTGGCCTGAGATACTGTTTCTACTCTTCCTGCAAAGCAAGGACATTTCTGGATTTCATAGCTATTTATCTGTGATAAATATGTTAATTTCATTTATGATAAATATGTTAACTGACACCTGCTGTTACAGGTGTAACATAGCATACAGAACAAAGTATTTAATTTTCAGAGTTGATTGGTAAAGAGAGAGATAGAAAACCAATAAACTTAAGGTGGACAGATGGGAACCAGAAGTAAGGAAACTTTTTGTAATCCTCATGTGTCCCAGATCCATGGGGTGTGGAGCTATGCATGGCGATTTCTGAGAGGCTTCTGTCCTGGTAGATAGGACAAAATAGTGAAATGACAAGTTCTGTTGACTTTAATGGCCCTGCATTTGTTTGCCCCCTGCTGATTTCAGACCAAACAGCAGTTAAACATTGTATAGTAAGTTAAAAAAAAAAAAATATCCACGGAAACAGACTGCAAAGCATTGAGAATTGATGCCTTCTGTGAAATTGCTTGAGAGGTCTTTGGCTGTAGAGCCATAGCATTTTACATGAGAAGGGGTAATGGAAACTACTCTAAGGGCTGGAGGAATGTTGATGGCAGCAGAGAGTAAAAAGCTGGTGTTTCAGGTCAGTGTTGGGACTTTGTGCCTGAGCTGGTTGCAAGTGTCTGGGAACAGGGAAGGTCACAGGTAAGTGCAGGAGTAGGGACTCATTCACACTGATGTGTTTGGGATGAGCCTATACGTGCTTTTTGTGTGGTGAAACCACACAGAGGAGAGGAAGGGTGTTAAGATCAAAGGGACCTCCTGGGATACAGCAATTAATGCAGCCCTTCAGCTTGTAGGAAAGGGGAGCTTGGCTTTTAGATGAGGTCAAAAGCCAGAGAGCATTGGAAACATGAAGGTTCCCGGCAGCAGCTGTTTTGAGTTGAAATTTGCAGTCTGGAGCCTTGCTGTTCTGGGGAAGCTGGGGCTGCCTCCTTCTGCCAGAAGGTCACCAGGGCAATAGTGAGGCTTGCTTGACAAGGTCACTGCATGTGTCCTCTCCTTTGAGTGATGTTCTTTATAACCTGATGGCCTCAGGTGGGATGAGTAACCCATAACCTGTGGGATTAGAGCTGTTCTTCACCTGTGCTTGCTCACACTCTATTCCTATAGTCAGCAGCAATCAACAGTGTCAGCCGCTTGCTCTTCCCAGTGAGAAAGGCATGGCTTTTAGTGGGTCCCAGCCTTGCCAAGGAGGGAACTGGAGCTTTACTTAAGACCACACCTTTATTAACTCTGTGCTGAGGTCGGAGGCTGCCACTGATGATGCTGAGCTATGCTCCTGAGGCTTTGCAAAGTGGTCATTGAAAGGCAGCACGCTGGGGAAAAAAGGAGCTTAAGTGCTTTTTCTGGGGACAATGATGTTGCATAACAGGCATCACATGGGATGCAGAAAATATCCAGTGGAGATGCTAAGTGATCTCATTACTGCAGTACGTGCTCGTGTGTGTCACACCTGGTGCAAAATGAAGGGCTGACCATCTTTTGTAGATCTGCAGGTGAGGAGATCCAAGGCAGCTGTGTGTTCCCTCCAAAGCTTAAGGCAGCTGGCAAGCATAAGTCTGGCAACTTCCATCTGAGCAATAAATAAGGGAAATAAATGAGGGTGCTGGCACAGAGGAGCTCTCCAAAAGCACTGGGGTGAAGGCTGAAGGGAGGGCAGGATGTCAGCAGGGCCCACACAGGCAGATTGTACAGCCACGTCTCCCTTCCCTGCTGCACCCAAAGGTTCTAAGGAAGACAAAACAGCTTCATCTTGAGCTGGTTAGCTCAGGGATTGGGCAAAGCCAGAAATAATTAATTCCTGCATGGTTTTATGTATGAGTGATCATGGGAAGGCCATGGTTATTAATGCCATGGGAGAGGGGACACTGGTGTTTCTCGAATACTTCTTAAAGGGATGTTTCATACTGAAGGGAAATCCCTGATGGTAAAAAGGTTTTGAAGATGCCTGTGAAAATAGATGTGTGAAATACGGGAGGGACCACAGGTAATGGTCAGGAGAAGTGAAGCAAGGGGAGTGCTTTGCTTCTGCAGTTTTTATGCGAGATGTAAAAAGAAAGTAGCAACACGTTTCAGCTTAACCTAAGGGCACTGACTGCAGGATATTCTTCACAAACGAGCAGATTTATGTTCTTTCTCCCTGCCTGTTGACAATGGTAATTGAGCTGCCTGAATGAGAAGTCTTTCTTACTGGCTTGACAAAAGCAATGCCTCGAGTGAAATTCCCACTGGTATGGCCTATTACTTGGTATTTTTACTAGGAATATATTTGGATCTGGTATTGTCATAGGATGTGCAAACACTGCTGCCCATGAGACCTGCCCCTTGCAGAGGCAGCAGATGGGTGAACAGCTTCACTTCATGGAAGTTCAGGGGCATGGGAGTTGGACATCCCTGTGGCTGGATGAAGGTGGTTTTTTTAAGGTAAAATACCTGTGTTCCCGTGTCTGGGTGCTGGCTCCGTCTTTGTGGCTCGGTGTAGAACTTGACGGCCGGGGTCGCGGTGACCCTGCCCCGCAGCCCGGGCGAGGTTGGGAGCGGGACGTGAAGGCTCTTGTAAGACTCGCTGAGCTTGTCTACAGTTTGCTTTCTTTTTCCCTTAAAGCCTGAGACGAATCGGCAGCGATGAAGAATAAAATGTTAAGGGTGTGAGGCTGGAAAAACACAAACCAAAACAAAAAAACCCTCTCAGAAGAGGTCGCGGTGACCCTGCCCCGCAGCCCGGGCGAGGTTGGGAGCGGGACGTGAAGGCTCTTGTAAGACTCGCTGAGCTTGTCTACAGTTTGCTTTCTTTTTCCCTTAAAGCCTGAGACGAATCGGCAGCGATGAAGAATAAAATGTTAAGGGTGTGAGGCTGGAAAAACACAAACCAAAACAAAAAAACCCTCTCAGAAGAGGAGCGGAAACCGGGTCTTCTCCGTATCGCCCGGGTGGGTGTTGGTTTCGGGTCCGGCTTCCGTGACCCGGCCCGCGGGCAGGGCTGCAGGGGGA